CCAAATATTAATATGTTCTACACATTTGAAATCATTAATCAATCATTGTTAGACCACCATTAGAAACCTGAAAGCACTGAATGGCCGTTTCGTCCTGCTATGGGACTTATCAGCAGTGCGCACCCACGACTCTTACACAACTCAAGACGATCAGTGGAATTCAACCTTGTCGAGTGTAGGCAGTAACTACTTAAGACAAATGGGTGAGGTGGCGCAAAATCTGTAAATTGATCAGAGTTAGACATTAAAACCGTTGTATGCCGGCCCAGTGGTCCAGACGTTAGATGTTCGCGCGCAAGACCAAAGTTCCTGTGCTCAAATCCTGCGAGGTGCAGGAGTCGCGGATGTGCGCTACTGATGAGTCCCATACCAGGACGAAACAGCCATCCAGTTCTTCCAGATTTCTAATGGTGGTCTAACAATGGTGTATTGATAATTTCAAATGTGTAAAAAACACTAATCTGCATAACTTTAATTGAAAATACTGATTTTGGGTCTATGGGGAGAATTTGTGTTCACACTTACCTCTAAAACTTCTGAATTATACATGTTTTACTGATAAAAATTACTTATTGTGATCAGCCATCGATTCGGTAATTTGTTTCAATAATTATTGACATGAATGAATTATTCCCTTGATCAGAGATTGCTTCTAGAATGCTTACAACTAGAAGTATCTTACATACTACTAACAGATAGACTTACAAATGTATCAGATAATTCGGTAATGAATTCGTAAAAATCAATAAACTTTTATTTTTATGAATGATCATGGTTAAATCGATGGACTTTTTGTTGGAGGATCACCGAAATGCCATGAAAATATGAGTGATATTTTCGTTATTCTTATAAATAATGACTAATAAAACGTTTCTGAGGTTATGTTTCCTCTGATCCAGAACATATTAATTAGATATTCTTGCATCCCATTGTTGATGTGAGTATTCATGCCGTTGCACAGTTAAGTAATTGAAAATTATAAAATGTGAATACTAAGGTTGAGTAATTACGTCAAATGATAAAATGTTCGTTATTTCATTGTCTATCATTGTAAGTTATATTCTTTAAACGTTGAAAAACAAAACCAATTTGAAACTAAATTAAACGATTTTTAATGTGTTGTTGTTCTGTAAGCTGGGTAATTTAATTACTAAGCTTTCATTGTTATTCTAAACGACATTAACTGACCTTATATCAGAGCGTTTAACATTTCAATGTAAAATTCACAGTTAAACAACCACTTAGTTCAAACAACATTATGATTTCATATCTCAAGTTCAACATGAGATACTTTTAGTTGAAAGTTTAAAGAAGAGCTAAATTCTTTAGGTGAAATCATAATCGCACAAGTGCGCTCTTTTTATTATCAATAATCTAACATCTATACATTTGAGATCAATGAAATTCATTTTGTTGTAAATTTATTTTTGAACTAGTTTTACTTGAATAACGAGTTTGGAAATATATATATCAACAGTATCCTTTGAAGTTTATGTCAATTTTCAAATTGACACCTAATTTAAACTAGTTTTTTGTTCAAGAAACAACCTATTTCAATGAATAATTTGTGCAAGAGAAACACAGTCAACATATTGCTGAATATACAACTTTTTATTGATTTGATAAAAGAGGGGTTACATGTTGTCATAGACGTATTATGTATGCATTGTTTGGTACTGCAAATCTATGAGTTCTTATCATGAATATTTATGACTTTAAGGTCGAAAATTCTCTCCTGCTCTAAGTATCAAGAGATTACTGTCTAATTATTATTATTATTATTATTATTATTATTGTCGATTGTTCACAAGAACCAACTTTATTCAACCTCACCATCAGAGAAAATATTACATATGGAGACAATACTCAAGAAGTGACTATGGATGAGATTATTGAAGCAACACGTGCAGCTAATATTCACGACTTTATTACAACACTTCCAGATGTGAGTAAAAACATCGAGTCGATTGAATTCACTAAATGTCACATTTCAGGTGTCTTTTATTTATTATATTCTTGTCAGATTGTTCACTGTTCAGATCGTTAGAATTAGTTTCAAATCTATTAAAAATAACCGTTAATAATTTTCATTGTTTTCAAGCAATACGAAACCAAAGTTGGACAACATGGATCAAAACTATCTGGAGGACAAAAACAGCGAATTGCCATAGCCAGAGCATTGGTTCGTAAACCTGTTTTGCTTCTGTTGGATGAAGCTACTTCAGCCTTGGACAACGATAGTGAGCGTATAGTTCAAGGGGCTCTTGATGGTGGTATGGGGTCAAGAACATCTCTATCGGTTGCTCATCCTCTATCGACAGTCGTCTACGCTCATCTGGTAGTAGTTTTACGGGATGGACGTAAGGTTGAGTCTGGACCACCAGCACAACTCTTAGAAATGAAAGGTGCCTTCTATGCTTTACATCATGTGGAGAATGAAACCATTTGATCAAATTATTTCATTGTTACAACCATTATAAATATATTTGTTTTTTTGTTATTGAGTTATCTGTAATAAATTGGAATTTTTAAAATCGGTGTCTGACAGAAAAGAGAACAAAAAAAGTTTAGTATTTCAGAATACTCATAATATATATTACTCATTTTCTAGGCAAAATTATTAGTAACAGATATCCTTAATAGAGCCAAACTTTTGTACTTACTTACGTGTTTGGAAAAGAACACAATTTTGATAATTAGAATCAAGAACTGTTCTTAATTAGCCCATTGCTGAAAACCCAAAAACCATGGATAGCCGTTTTATCCTAATATGATACTCCTTAGTAGTACTTCATGCTAATGTACATGTTGACAATCTTACCAATGATCAAAACAAAGCTAATGAAATGATTTAAGAATCTTTTAATAATTGTCCAACAAAAGTTCACCTGTGATGATGTTAAACTACAAATTCAAAGAATTGTTTAATTTAGTTTCAAATTGGTTTTTTTTTTCAACCTTTTAAGAAAATAACTTACAATTATAGACCATAAAATAATGAACATTTTATCATTTGACGTAATTAAATAATTCATGGTAAGAACCTTACACAGTGCTCATATTAATTGAAATTATCAAGTGAAACCTTGGTGAGGATATCTTATAATTACCATTTACTTCTGTGTGCAACGGCATGAATACTCACATCAACAATGGGACGTAAAAATATCTAGTTAATATGTTCTGGATCAGAGGAAACATAAACTCAGAAACATTTTATTAGTCATTACTTACAAGTATAACGAAAATATCACTCATATTTTCATGGCATTTCGGTGATCCTCCAACAAAAAATCCATCCATTTAACCATGATCATTCATAAAAATAAAAGTTTATTGATTTTTACCGATTCATTACCGAATTATCTGATACATTTGTAAGTCTACTTGTCAGTAATATGTTAGATACTTCTAGTTGTAAGCATTTTAAAAGCAGTCTTTGATCAAGAGAACAATTAATATTCAAGTCAATATTTATTGAAACAAATTACCGAATCGATGGCTGATCACAATAAATTATTTATTGTCAATAAAACCAGTATAACACAGATGTATTTGATGTAAATATGAAAGTGAATTCTTCACACTCACCAAACAATTAGTATCGTTAATTTCTTACTTCAGTATAATTTTCACCGAAATTTGTAATTCATTTCTTTGTTTGACTAATAACTTGGAAAAGTATAACATAATTGATTTATGAGTCACAGGTAGTATGTTCAATGACCTTGATTGTATTTAATCGTAATGCGTTCAGTTTTTTTTTTTTTTTCAATAATGAAGTCCAGTCAGTTGGTTAAAACCTTCACAACCAAACCACTAACCTGAGACTACCTGGTTTAAAGATATTCTTCTCATTGAATAGAATTTATCTCAGCTATGACGTAATCAACACTTTATTAATCCATTTCTATTGAAGTTCTTACCTTAAAAATTATTTATTATCTGTACTAACATTTCTTTCAGTTAGTTAAACAACACTTCATAATCTTAAAGATGAGACTTCTATGTAAATGTAACCAATGCTTATATATTGTATAACAAACTTTTTGATAGTAAAAGGGTTGGTCATGAAAATAAGAATGACAATAGATGCTTGATAACAAAACAATGAGCATTATTTTAATGTATGTAGAGTACATTTGATCGTAGCTGACAACAGATCACCAAAAATCCTATTCAACTGAATTGGAACATCGATGATTTTAATACTAAAAATGGTGAAGCTTTGAATATCAATAAAATCATTGTATTTTAGTCTGACATTGATGTCTCATTGAATGTTTTTTTTTGATGAGAAACCCTTAATATATCACTTGTTGTCTTGAAAATCAATGAATTGCTCTTTAATTTTAATATCAGAAAATAAATGTAATTTAAACAAAAAAAACTCTGATGATCTTCTTTCATAAATCAATTTCAATTAGAGTTATGGAAATAAGTGTTTGTTGTACATTTGAAATCATCAACCAGTCATTGATAGACCACCATTTGAAAATTAGCAGGATTAAACACATATATCTGATACATTACAGGGGTTGTGAAGATTGTTAATTTACACATTTGAAATCATGAATCGATCAATGCTAGACTACCATTAAACATCTGGAAGAACTGAAAGACGGCCGTTTCGTCCTGGTATGAGACTCTTCAGCAGTGGGTATCCACGACTCCGGCGCCTCACAGGAATCGAATCCAGGACCTTCGGTCTTGCACGCAAACGCCTAACCTCTGGACCACTGGGCCCGGCATCCAACGATGTTAATGCCTAATTCTGGTCAATCTACAGATTTTACGCGACCTCACTCATTTGTCTTCAGTAGTTACTGCCTACACTCGACATGGTTGAACTCCACTGGTCAACCGATAATCAACAATCCCTCTTATTTCAGTATCAGCATGAATGTTACATTTACAGTACACAATGATCATATACATATTCTACCAGTGATTGTATGCTATAATACAGATTTTGACAAATTTATCAAATATTAACTTACCATACAATGAATCACTGTATGACTTAAATTATGTCCAAGTTTTGAAACAATCATACGTGGTAAGCTTTCTAAATAACCACCCATTGATATTGCACTAGTCACTTGTTGATATGAATGTATATCATTACTGTAATAATATACTTTTGCAGCAAAATTATTCACATCAATAGCAAATTGTCTTGGAGATTTTAATTTATATTTATTTAATATAGAATGAGCTTCTGATGATAATGGTCTCAAATTACACAATGTCAATGATGGAAAAGGTGATGGTGTATCACGAAGTACTTGTGGTGGATGAATAACATTATACTCTAAATATTGACGTGTTAATATGAACATACAAACAAATAAACCACCGAAAAATAAAATCACTGATGCAATCCATAATGTTTGTAATGTTTTATTGCGTGCAGTGACAACTCTTGTTACTCCACGTATAGTAGTAGTTTGACAAAAATAAAGAAATTCTTTCTTTAAATCTTTTCTTAATTGAGATTTCTCTTTATTACTGGAAGTTGATTTTTTCGGATGTTTTTTATTAGTCATGATATCGTTTTTTTTAAAAAAAAAAAGGATTCACATAACTGGATATGAAAAATCTAATTAAATCAGTATTAGAATGATAAGTGAACTGTTTTGCTTGAAAACTTTAAAAATATTTATTGAAAATATATCTGCAATGGGATTGGACAAAACAGGTTGTTAGGGAATTGCAGTAGTGAACCAATCATAATTCAGAATTGTGATATTTAGAGTTATTTTGAGAAATGACCACTAACTACAGTCAATCTAGGGGTTTGCTTTTAATTGTCTTAATTTTGAGCTCTGAGTCTTTTGATTGATCATGTAATCTGGGGGTAATAATACCGTCAGGAAGTGAAGTTGATGTTCATGCCGGACTCCCGTTGGATTGTTTCCGGTTGATTCTGTATACCTTAAAGCCTTCAAAAATACTGTGTCTAGAATATTTCTCTTTCCTATTGTTTTAGAAATCTTAGATTTTTAAGTAGGTTCTTGTTTCGGATACTTGGATTACTTGCATTTCTATCACAATCGTTATGTTTGCAGTCATTATTTGTAAAGATATCAGATATAATTGACAGTGCTGCTACTCAGGGTATAGGAAGGATTTGATTTCGACCAATTTGGTCTCTCGTGCTGTTACGGGTATGAGGGCGGTTGTCAATTCCCGTCTGCACACACCGTGGAAGGTTGTTCTTCGAGGGACCTGAAAAGGAAGATAGATTAGTGTTGGTCTTAGAGACCTGGAAGCGTGACCACAGAGCCCAAGGGACAACTGCTTGAGGCCGGTCACGCACGGCCTTTTTATGAAATATTTTTTGAGTATTAGCTCAGCTCTTAAAGGCCCTTAGTGGGCACCCTTACCCAAGGAGACGGAAATCCGTGAGTTAGGATGAGGTGTGACATTTTTAGGGTGGGCCATTTCTAACCCTTCCTTCCTTGTGAGAAGGCAGCATCGCTGCAGATGCTGGTTGTCCGAGGGAAACACCTTACTGCTGTCACATCCCTCTGCAGTCAGCAGTACGACTTCGCCTTCAAACCTGGAGTAGCTGCTTTTAGTCTCACCGTTCTCTAATCGACCTGCCTGGCATGGCAGAACCTTCAGGAACATATGTTCCAGCCAATATAGCTCGGTTGGATAGGCAAGCCCGACCACCATGTCAAGGTAGCAGCTACGGTCGGGAATGCTGCTACTAGCTACTTGATTAACGATTTATGTCAACCAATTAAATTGTTGTACACTTTAATTCCTTTCTATAATACAATATTAAAATTGTTATACAAAATCATCAGAATAAAACTAAATTGGAATGTTTCGCATCTATTAAGGATAAGCGTGAAAAAAAATTCCTTCCTTTCCTAACTTTAAAATTATTTATAGTTCTTCAAAAATGTGTTCCATGCCTTTCACGATCTACTCAATGATGAGAGAAATACCAAAGAGAAAAACTCTAAAGGGATCATACAAGCAGCATGTCATGTGGCAGTCTTGAGTTACCGATTTTCTTCACTCGTTAAGATTCTGCACACGCTTTGCTCATTCGTGGCCTCATATCTGCATCAGATAGACGTATGCTGTTTCGATAATGAGTGGGTTGAGTGTGACTGGTTTCTTCAGGAGTTCTTTAAAGTGTTCTACTCACCTGTTTCGATATTCTGAGGTTTCGGTAATCTGTTTGTCTTCGTTGTTCTCAACTCATTGTTCTGAGTTATTATGTTTTTCAGTTAGCTTCTTCGTTGAATAGTATAGTGGTTTCATGTTTCCTTCTCTTGTCTATTTTCTGCTGTCATTGCTAGATCTTCTACATATTTCATTTTATTAGCTTCAGTACTTCTGCTTCCTCACTGATTCGCTTCGGTGTATTCAGCTCGTACCCTGGCTTTCTCTGCTATTGTTCGACTGTCACTGATTGCGGCCTTTCTGTTCTTCCTTTCTTGAATCTTATCCAGGGTAATGACGGAGAGTGGTTCCTGCCGATGATGCTTCTTTTTGTCACGATTTTTAGAACAGACATCAAGACAGTCATACTGTATTAAATGGAAACTTGTAGAAGTCACCATCCGCAAAATACAGGTGCTTATTAACAGTAGTATTCTCAGGCGACTCTGGATCCGTTGGTCAGATATCATCAGTAACACCCTTCTTTGGCAAAAAATAAACCAACCTCTAGCTAAGAATGGAGTTGGGAAAAAACTAGTCAACTTTATAGTGCCTACAGTACGACTACTGAACTATAAATCATAAAATACACGTTGCACAGCTTGAGGTACATTTATTTGAACATCATCAGTTTCCGTCGGCATTAAAAATATTGAACGTCGCAATTTATTTATGCACTACAGTGCTTGGAGTAGAGAATTCAAATAGCAGACAGCGCTCTGATTCTTCAACAGGAGTCTGAACAGCACCCAACAGCTATATTATATTACCGTTTAACATACTGAATATCTTCAAGTACATAATGCATGTGTATTTACTTGCATAACATACACCAGTCAGTTCAGTGACGAGTGAGTGAGTGAGTGACAGTTGAAGATGAAACTTACACTGTTACATTAAACATTGTAGACGATAAAAATCAATGGGACTAATCAATTCCAAAAATTATATTATTTCATGTGATAATTTATAGTGGATCATTACTCATTATTACATGTGTTCAAGCCTAATTTCTGTAATGAACGAATACAGAGTTATTGCTTCATTCGACAAAAAAAAAATGGTGAGCAGATGAGAATATGGTATTGAATTACTGCTATTGCTTGCCCCTGTCTTAGTAACACTTCAAGTTTACCACGCTTCTACTGATCTGTATTACTTTACTCATTAACTGGACTATGGGTTTTGTGTTTAAGATTTACTTGATAGTTAGTGCAAGCTCGTTGATTAAATATCATTCCCTGCTAATCATAGTGAACCAGTCAGTTAGGGTAATCCAACTCCAACTCTTTATCGATTCTCTATCCTCACTAAAAAACTGTACATTATCGAGTATCATGAAGAAACAGATGTGTATAGTGGACAGGAGGATAGATACATCCACGGTTTGTAGGAAATCTATCTTCTTGAGGTCCACAGCTCAACAAGTGTATAACTAGTGTTATATTACAACACAGACTGACTAGACTACTATCAAGAATCTTTAACGAAGCTTATCTCTGTCATTTTCTGGTCAACCTATGGTAGTCTCTCAACCAATTTATGTGCATTTATAAATTCAGCTGCTGCTGAAGAGATAGAGCTACATTGTGTCTAAAGCTGGACAACCGACCTAGAGAGCTGAAGAGAATCTACATTCACAAAATAAATACACTGCTTCTTTCTGTCAAAGATGATCGACAGTGTGAAAAATATTCTTTTTTTTTTGAATATAAACATTGTCGTTTATTGAAAACAATATTATCCGCTTATATGTGTTTTTTTTCAATTCATATCATTGAATTTTTTAGTACTTGAATATTGGTAGTAGTTATAATAATTCACATGTACTTTATCAAAAGCTTATTTTCTACATAAAATACATGTAAAAAAAATTATTTATAAGTAGATTTTTAACTACTTATAATCCACTACTTATAATCCATAAACTAACATTTTACGCATCATAGTTAATCCGATTGGGGAATTATCTGTTTGTATGCTCTTATTAGCTCACATCCTCTTTCCATATCACTTACAGTTATATCGAGAAAATTTCATATCTACAATTTAGAAACCTTACTAAGAAACTTCATTTTCTCACTAAAACAACACTTCTCATTTAGGCAGTTAGTTGAAGATCAAACGAACGAAGAAATCTTACTTCTGAATTAGGTTGTCATCATGACTATACCATTAATTATATTTGAAATCATGAATCGAACAATTTTAGACCACCATTAGAAACCTGGAAGCACTGGATGGCCGTTTCTTCCTGGTATGGGACTCATCATCAGTGCTCATTCAAGACTCTTGCGCCTCACAGAATTCGAACCCAGGATCTTCGATCTTGCGCGTGAACGCCCAAACTTTGGACCACTGAGTCGGTATCGAAAGGTTTTAGTGTGTTAGCTTCGATCTCCACAACCGAGGAGTGCAATTACATGTGCTCAAAAGTGACCAGCTCCGTGAGGAATCTTCTCTTAGTTTTAGTGGGAAGTCGTGACCAATGAAGTTTAACCTGTTCGCGTGTACACAGTAACTAACAAAGACATTGTATAGGATGAATTGAGTGAGCTTAGACATCAACATTTCTAGATACCGACTCAGTGGTCCAGAGGTTAGGCGTTCGCTCACAAGACCGAAGTTCCTGGGTTCGAATCCTGCGGGCTGCAGGAGTCGTGGATGTGCACTGCTGATGAGTCCCATAGCAGGAAGAAACGGCCATCCAGTGCATCCAGGTTTTTAATGGTGGTCTAACATTGATCGATACATGATTTCAAATGTGTTACTTAACAATCTTCACAACCCCTGTAATGCATTAAATACATGTGGTTAACAGTGCTAACAGAACATACCAGTTCCAATATTTATGAAAATAATTGCACATGACTAGCAAACATATTAAGTGCGTAAACTGAATGAATGATAATATAAGGTTTGAGTAGTGAAGATATTGATGATTGATAAAATATTTTCGAAAAAATTCACTACATTATCATTTGATATTATACTGTACATTAAAATAGACAGATTTATGATGGCGAAAAATTCCCAGCTTCACTAGGTAATTATCGATTTTTTAACATTTAAATTATCAATGTTATTTGAAAGGAATTCTCATAAAAAAAAAGCAATTAAAAAGTAACTTTACATAAACTTTAGATTAGGTACAGTTAATTCATCTGAAGATCAGCTAAAGGTTGTGGTTTAGTACTAATAGACAGAAAAGATTATTTAGATAAAATAAAATTTTAATTAAATGATAAATATAAATTTCAAAATCTAACAGTTAAGAACATTTAGTGGCGATCGAGTGGAGAATGATTTTGATCACCATAACATATAAATTACGAGCTTGTCACTGAGAAGAAAGGTTATTCCGTAAGAAAGAATATATTTGCTGGCGATCTCATGGTATCAGAAGAATACAAAAATCGTGCCAGGA